TAAACTAGCCAATGCTGCTTTGAATTCATAAAGATTAAGTGTATTTGATGAATCTTTATCAAAGTGACGAAAAGTACTTTCAAATTCTTCTAGTTGTGCTGGTGTCAAATTTGTCATATTTCTAGACACAATCTAAAAATAAACAACATCAATATATAGGGATAGGTATATGTTAAAGCTACAGACTAATAAAAAAATGGCTAATACTTGATCTTCAATAAAAGAGATTTTTTTTGTGACAGCCTGTTGTACAAGACCTAATTCAAATTTCAAATCATCTACAGAAAAAACTGTGTAATCATTTTCTTCAATATTAGCTTCTTGACATCTTGCATCAATTTCTTGTATTTGACCAAGAGATTTTTCCAAAGGACCTAATTTAGCTGAAATTGCTTTAACTGTACTAAGTTGAATCTAACGGAAATATATTAACATTTAATAGAAAATAAAAATGTTATTATTTTGATTTGTTGTTATTGATAATACCTCTAATTCACCATCTAATTCAACCAAAGAATAAGAAATAGATTCCAAATTTTTCTGAAAGTCATTTGCTGACTGAGCAAATGATTTTCTCAAGTTTTCTTTAATACTAAAATATATGAAGCATATTAAACAAAATCCAAATATATAAATTTTCCTATTGGTCTTCTTTTTTTAATAAAAAAGATTTGCTTACTCTTTTAATTTATTATGAATAGATTTATATCGTTTGGTTTCTGCTAATAACAAACTTTGCCACAAAGGGATGATGTTGCTGATGGTTATGATTATGAGAAATATTTAGATAAAGTTTTTGGATATTAATATCATATACTATTATATTTATTCATTCATTTTTATTTTGTTTGTATACTATTTGGCTGATTAATCTAATGGCTTATTATAGTTATAATAATTATTCTGATGTGTTAATATATTAGTGCCATCAAAACAATGTTCAATTTATATAATTTTTTTTCATGCCCTTTACAATATCTACAAAATCATTGATAAGGTCCTTGCTAA